GAGGCGGGCGCGGGGGGCGGGATGCAACACCGAGCCCGACCGCGTTGGCGGCTCGGGCTCGGGGTTGGTCGAAGGCGGGCGGGGCGGGGCGCGAGTGCGAGAGGTGACCCCGAGTGCGACCGCGTTGGCGGCTCGCACTCGGGGCAGGTCGAGGGGGGGTGCCGAGGGTGGGAGGCGAAGGAGGCGTTCCCCAGCGAGACCGCGTTGGCGGCTCCCGCTCGGGGGTTGGGCGAAGGAGGGGGCGGACGTTCCGCGCGGTGGGCCGGCGCACTTGCAAGCGCAAGACGACGGACGGCGCACTTGCAAGCGCCGCGTTCAGCGCATTTGCGAGCGCCGCGTCTGGCGCATTTGCGAGCGCGGCGGGCGGCGCACTTGCAAGCGCGAGGGCCGGCGCACTTGCTAGCGCGGTGGGCTGCGCACTTGCAAGCGCGAGGTGGGCGGACGGCGCACTTGCAAGCGCTGCGTCCGGCGCATTTGCGAGCGCGGCGGGGAGCAGAGTGAGTTGACTCGAGTCAACCAACCACGTCACGATTTAATCACGTGACCGGTATCAGCCGCGTTGATTCGTCTAAGTCCGCTTTTACAGATACATCCCATATTTATGGGTGCTATATTGATTGCACCTATGAGCTATGTATCACTATGTAGCTATAGCACTGAGCTATGTTGTCTCTAATTACTGTATAGGACTATGTAGCAACTGACCAACATCTACATAGCACTCATAGCACTCTATAGCAATTAACCTAATTCTATATAGTACCCATAGCATTACAATAGTGACTATAGCTCTGAGGTGCAGCTATACAGATCAAGATTTTTTCATATGCAGCGAGCGATCAATAGAGAATTTAATTGCGGACAGGTCCCTCCGCTCATAATTTTATTTCATCAAAGGACAAGTCGTCTTTTTTGAGTTCAGGGGGTATGTCACGTGTCGATCTAGACCGACCTACGCCGATCCGCTCCACCGATCGTCACCGATCTACACCAATCTTCTCCGATCCGATCTCCGACCCTTCACCGACTTCTTCGCCGACGCCGATCCCGCCTTTCCCGTTTTGGTCGAGGGCGGGATACACCTATCACATGCACCGGGCCACCGGCGGCTCAATGCCCCGGTGGTTCCAGATCTTTGAACGGATTCAACTCCGACTTTCCTGATTCCTGTTCCCTTTGTCTGACATCATAGTTTCCCTTTGTAGACTTTAGTTTCCCATCACTTGCGACGGATCTTTTGGTCCGCCCTTTCCGTCTCTTCTGTAGATATGTTCCCTTTGTGTTCCATGCATTATCTCTCGTCTCCATATGTTCCCTTTGTGCGCCGAACGGCGCCTCCAATCTCTGACTCTCCAACTTTGCCATTGTTCTCTTTTATGCATATAAACTGTCGAACTGTACCGTAGATAGTCAGTTCGAATATCGACTAAGCTTTGCTCTCTCTCTCCTGCGGACTCAGAGCACGTAGCAGCCTAGCGCACGAGCTTAGGCTTGGTCCGCATCGGATCTTGACTCCACCAATGCTTCCGACTTCTCGACTTCACGCCGACGCGTCTCCAACTCCGCTCCGACTCTACCCCTTGAGTTTCTCTTCCTATTTCATTCTATTCTTTGTATATACACTCCGGACTTCGGTCCTCCGACCCTATTACCCTTTGCTTGTATCCGATCTTGACAGGGTATTTGAGAGTGGTTTAACCTGGGTTGGATGTGCACTTTGGTGGGGCACATGTCATAACACCACAGAGCTCCACATTACCAGTGTTCGCACTGGCCCTGCCTTACTATATAGATCAAGATTTTTCAAAGATGAAAGCTCTGCATCATTGGACTTCTGACATGGTATTTGACATTTCTCCATCATTCTTTGTGAACTGCTTCCATAGCTAACAAATTAGTAAAATCTGGTTTCTGTAAAACATCTTACAAAAAACAATGAAGACATTCAAAAAACAGCAAACAAAGAACATATACTGCAAGGATGCTGCATACACTGCACATCACTTACACACACTGCAAACTACCTGCACACGATACACATAATCTGCACACAGTGTGCACATAGTTGCCAACTTGTCACATATGACAAAATTGGCCTATTTGTCATGCTAACACTGCATTTGTGCATTTTGCCTTAGGACAGTTTTCCTGATGTAAGGAGTAGTACGACGGCACTCACTGAAATGTATCCAGAACCGTCAAACGAAGTCTCGTACCTTCTTCGCGGCTGCATCAGCCGTCACCACTGCGTTCGCAGCATTCCCTGTTGCCAGCTCATCTTGTGTTGTCCAACGGACAGCACGTTCCTGCTCCTTCAAGACATCATGCATCCCCCGAAGCAACTAACGGTGGGCTGAGTCCGCTGGATTCTCTCCTCTCCTCTGAGCAACAGCGGTGTGCACTCCGCGCTTTGCCTGGGATCCGTCGAGATAGGGGGGAGAGTAAGATTGATGAAGTCCTTGACAGGTAAGTCTGGCATATGCAGCCAACCATTGTATCACAGTGAAACGTTGAGCTCCCTGTCGCATGCCTCCCAGACGGCTGCAGGTGTATTCTTGTATGTATGACCTTTCCCAATCCAGTCTTCCAAGAGAATGTCGGTACACAGGTCCATGATGTCCATCTTGATCTGGCAGGAATGTTCCAAGACGGCGAGTACAGATGCGGTGGAAAAAAGTCGACGGTATCGGCTACGTCGAAAACTGATTGCAAAGCCTTGTCTACTTACTACATTAAAATACGTTGCTCGCGGTTCGAACACGAGCACCTTGGTAAAACCTCTTGAACCTGCGCTACATACCATGTCGTACTCCGCACCACTGATCCACGTGGTCCTTAGGACAGGCCTCCTAACCTGGCCTCATATTCCTCCGGACTCACGGGACAGGCCTCCTTCTCTCGGCACCCCTCACTCCTCCGGATTGTGACCAGGCCTACGACCGCTAGAGAGCACATTTTCCTCCGGACTACTGTAGCGCACGCCCACGGACAACGCGCGGACAGCCACACTTGACGCATGGCTCTTACCTCGTCCACACCCGCTCGCCCTCCGCTTCGTACAAAGCACCCCTCGACAACGGCCACCAAAGACCAAGCCATGGCCACGGACTCACGTACGACAATGCACCCAGCGGACGAGGAGGTCAAGGCCACGATGGAGCGAGAGGGGAGCGTTGTATGCAACGCTGGCCACGACAGTCGCGATGAGTATAAATACAGTCCCTCCATGTACTAAGTAGCAGCAACCTAGTTTCCTCGAGCCCTCTCAGCATCATTGCGAACCCGAAGCCATAAGTCTACATCCCCCCATTGTGTCTATACCGTGTCTGCCCCTGCGTCTGCGTCTGCGACTGCGACTGCGTCTGTGATACTCCCCTGCGACAAACTCTCCTCAATCTCTCGCCCTCCGGCACCCCG